GCGGTTTATGATCCAATCAGTCTCGTTTGAAAGTAAGACCGTGGGCTGGTGTGGGTGGGTCGCACATGCTCTCGGAAAGCGTTTTGCTGAAAAATTAACAATGCACTAAAACCAAAACGGCCACTCTGCCTAGAGGAACATGCGTTTTGTTATGACTATTCTGCTTTAGATGCACTGAGAGTGCCTTTTTCTGTTCCAGGTTGGTTGAAATGGCTGAAACACACACACGAATGCAAGCTTACATCACTGAAATGCAGTAGTGCATCTCTGCTAAGATATATATGTTTGGTGCAATATGTTATAATAATGCACGTCTTTACAGGACAAAGTGTTACTACAGGATTTGCACACAATAGCACAATGTTTTCTGCACAAAAGACTATTTTGTTGATTATTCTCCTCATATTCTCCACTGTTGCGGCTCCTCTCATCTCAGTCTGTCAGTAACGCTCTGTTTACTTCCTGTCTCTATGAAGCCCCTCCTTCTGAAAAGCACACTGCGCTCTGATTGGTCGGCTGGAGCAGTGTGTTGTGATTGGTTGAGCGCTTCGAGTGTGTTTGGGAAATCTCCCGCCCCTAATTACCATAACCGCCAGTTTAATGGTGCGTTCACACCGGACGCGAATAGCGCGTCAGGCGCGAATGATTTCAATGTTAAGTCAATGCAGACGCGTTACGCGCGTAAAAATTCCTGCGACGCGAATGAGGCGTAAAGCGAGGCGCGGTAGACGTGAAAACCATAGATATCTATATAAAGGCTAGACATGTCGTCCACGCTGCTGGCCAATGGAGGTCGACGTCTGCACCTGGCGGCCATCTTGTCACAGGCAGCTCGCTCACTCGTAACATTGTGTTAATGGTACACGTACTATTTAAATGACCATAACTTGCTCAATTTTCTACCGATTTTCAAACGGTTTTGTTTTGTTATAAACGTCAGAGATGTAGTTATGACACTCCATACTTATGAATAAAAAGTGTACAAATAAAAAATCATCCAGATAATTATAGCCACGTTAATAACGTTTGTAAACCAAACCGTTTGTAAATCCGTCAAGATTTCAACGAGATAAGAGTATTTGTGTTCGTGCTGACCACTCATCTTACATCAGCTTGTCTGTGACAAGATGGCCGCCGGTGACGACAATGGAAACTCCGCCGTAACACATCTAGCTTTTATATACATATCTATGGTGAATACGCCTCATTCGTGCGAATGGCGCGAATTGAGTGTCTGGCGCGTTACGCGCAAATGATTTAGTTAGTGCTATTTGTGCATTCACGCATTTGACACAAATTCGCGCCTGCCGCCTGAGTTGAAAAATCTGAAATTTTGCGTCAATTCACGCCGCGTTAACCAATCAGGAGCCAGCTGCTTGCTCACGTAGTGAAGTATCGTCATCCAGCGCAGCTCCTGGAGCGAGCAAATGGTGAAACTCGCCAAACGGTTCGCTTACGAAGGGTCCGGTGGACACAAATACGGCGACGATGATCCCAACGCCGCTGTTCCAGAGCAAATAAAGTGCGGTGACTCTCTCGATGAATGCTTAATCAACAGAAAAAAGATGGCCGCCAACGGGTTTCGATTCTGATGCGCGTGACGCGCGTAAATTTCGCTTCAAACTTTTGTTTTTACTAGGGCTGTCAGTTTAACGCGTTATTAACGGCGTTAATGCAAACCCATTTTAACGGCGTTAATTTTTTTTATCGCGCGATTAACTGTCTTTTTGTCCAAGCAAACTTTGTCGTTTTTTCACATGCTTTTGCAACAGCCTGATCCATTTCGGTGTCTCGCGCTCGTCATCCACTCAAAGCCGGCTCGCAAGCCCAAACGTGTGTTTGTGGCGTGCCTGTTGTTTTGTATACGGTCTAGATCCGCTTGCGCTTTGGTCGAAGAAGCAACAAAACGTCCTCGCGCGGCGCAAGCCATTGAAATGAAAGGGTTTCAGAGCGCAGCGCGAGGACGTTTCGTGCCGCACACACTCGTTTCGGCTTGCGAGCCGGCCAAATAGTAACGTTACTTTTGAGTGGATGACGAGCGCGAGACGCCGAAATGGATACCCTAAGATTCTGAATGGAAAGTTACTTTTAAAAAGTTGCCATATTGTCCCATTGACAAGACCAAGTGATCTGTGTGTTTTATCGTTGTGAACTGAGCTATCATCATCGCAGCTAGTCCAGTCTGAAACACCACTTGATGATGGCCAAGCAAACACACACACACACACACACACAGATGATGCGAATTCTCCGCCCCCTCGTCAATATCAGGGCCTCGTCAGTATTTCTTTCACCCTTTTATTGATAGACAGAGTTACATTGTGTGAGAGATTATTTATAGGCTATATGTTTGTGTGAAATTGAACACAATTCCAATGTTATTTTCAATTATAATTTTTCCACTTTTCCATATTGATAAGAGCATTAAAATGAGAAAAAAAATAATGTAACAAAAAGAAATCAAGATATATTTAGAATAGATAAAAATGTGCGATTAATCCCGAGTTAACTATGACATTAATGCGATTAATCGCGATTAAATATTTTAATCGTTTGACAGCGTCAGTTTCACTCTTGACGCGCAAATTAACACAAAGTGGTCAAGCGTCAAACTAGACGCGGTAGACGCGAATTTGATGCACTATTCGCGTCCGGTAACGCACAGTAACAAACTACTAACTAACTCAACCAGGCCCCGCCCCTTTATTCTGCACATGAATTATTATAATGAGGAATATCGTTCCCGGAAGAAACTCAAGACTACAATGGAGGCGTTTTAGGGAGTTAAAAAAAGTAAAACACTTTTTTTATGGTTTAATGCTCTAAAACCACCACCAAGAACCGGATTTCTCTCGGATACGGATAGTATCGGATACGTTTACGGATAGTGCTAATGTCTACAGGGAAGTTGATTAAGTGCAATATTCTTTACTCTTATCATAAAAGTGTTGTTTTGGATTATAATGTTGTTGTTTTTGGCAATAAATAATGTATATTACATAGTCATATATGAGACTGAGATGGACAGCAGGAGAAAAGCAGCGCTGAATGCAACTGATAAAACGCAGCTAAACATATAATCACAGCACAATTTAGAAAAACGTTTCTTTTGTAACATCAAATTCATCACGCAGACTCATTACACAGATGCATGACCTCATCAGAAATGGGTTTATGGGTAAATCACACTTCTGCTGTTGCATTTACACTCTCTCAATGTTGTTATTGATCCGGTATTCAATTTAAATGATTTTTCCTTTTCAAATATAAATACTCAACACTGGTGAAACGCACTTCTGCTGCTCTTTATGCATTCACAACATTTCTGTTTTCTCATTCATTTCTAACCTGTCAGGTTGTGTTGTGTTTATGCAGTTCATAGTAATATTCATAATTCATAATAATACATTTGTAGAGGCATTTTAGTTCATTCGTATGATAAAACGATGGGTTTATCAATCAAAACGGAAAATCACTTTCTTCATAATCACTACATAAAATATAAACAAAACTAGCTGAGAATCTGAAAGAGAGAGATAACGTGAAGGAGAAATGTCTTGGATGTGCCATTTTTAGAGTTATATTAATAAAGCATTAACTCAGTCACAGCAGGAGATTTAGACACAGAAACACTGCCAAACTATTGCAACTTTAAGACTTTCTTAATCTGTTTTTTGTAGTTGTTGCTGTCTTGTTTTCCTTTAACAATATCACAAAGACATTAAATTAGCCACATTCTTCTCACCTCGTTTGCATTTTAATTCCCTTGTTTTATTAATCATTCCGTCATTTGATCAAATCTTGGCCATGCATTCAAAATTACTTGCCTCATTTTAATAAACCGTGGCCACAATGCACTAACTCGTGCCATTGTTTCAGTAAAAGGGGTTTAAAAGTTAGGTCATTATTGTAATAGCATGCTTTAGGGCCAAACGGCTCAAACCCTCTCTTGGCGTTAGAAAAGTGCTGTCAGGATTTACTAAAGACACGCAGTGAAATATTTCTGTGGACAGGGTTATTTTTTCCAACTCGTTCATCAAAATGAACAAATCTTTTTCCGAGTCAATTCGTTCGTTGAATGAACCAAATGACACGAAAAAAGATTTGTTCATTTTGATGAACGAGTTCGAACAGGAGAGTCACGAACCCGCATCACAGAACAGAGCAAGGCGAGCATTTGAGCTTATAAAACTTCAACTTTGTTATTTATTTATTAAATGAGCGATCGTTTCGCTTGATCGCATCGTCTGGAGTCGTTTAAAGCCCTTTGAACAGTTTGTAGTTTGCACTGAAACTGTCTTTTGGACCTTGAATTGTTTGGTTCCCATTGAAGTCCATTATATGGAGAAAATCCTGGAATGTTTTCATCAAAAACCTTAATTTCTTTTCGACTGAAGAAAGAAAGACATGGACATCTTGGGTGAGTAAATTATCAGCAAAAGTTTTTTTTAAAGTGAACTACTCCTTTAATGTTCAAAAAGCACATTATTTTTCACACAGCTCCACTGAAACACTCTGACTTCTACAAAGCTCCTCCCTCTGAAAAGCTCAGAGTGCTCTGATTGGCCAGCTGAACAAGTGCGTTGTGATTGGCCAAACAATATATAACACGCCTTACCATAATCATTTAGTGGAGGCGGGGATAATTTGCATATTCATAGAACCACGTTTACTAAATGAGGCAAGGGTGTCGAGTTACAGTCAAGATATTTTAAGGCATGGAGAATTTTTGGTCATTTTTGTGTTTAAAGATTAATTTTCAGGGATAAAATTACTGACTGCAGGGGGACTTTAACAATACCGTATCATTTCGAGTCGGAATCTCGAAAATATGGATGATCACGCCAATCGATTGGAATGAACTTGAGCAGATCTTTTCACAGTGGTAAGTTCACACTGATTAATTTCATAATTTTGAAATTAATTTCATAATTTTCATCCATTTTCGCAAGGCCAAACAAAGTGGATTTGCGTTCACATTTCAGTAAAGTGCAACTCACCATGTGCGTCTCGGTAGTAGGCGTGTGTCACACTCCTGAACCGCTCCTGTCCCGCCGTGTCCCAGATCTGCAGAGCAAGAGGAGACACACACTTAACATGCTTCATTCACACACACACACACAGATCGGCGGTGTTGTAGTACTCGAGACTCGGACTCGTCTCGGACTCGGTCTCGAGACCATATTTTAATGGTGTTGGTCTTGTCATGGACTCGTGTGCATTTGGACTCTGAATTGACTCGTACTCGAACATTTTTTTTTTAGGACTCGGACTTATTCCCGAGTCCACTCGAGTTCAATTCAAAACATTTTTCATGATTATTAATGTATGTTAATAAAATATTTCTTTAAATTGATTGACACGCCCAGTGATTGGTGATTTTCTAGTGCGCAACTGCGCATGACAAATTGTAATAAAATTACTTTTAACACCACCTACTATGTGGCCTTTTTACCCTAAACTGAGCATATTTTTTAAACTCTAAGTAAATTCAGTAAAATAAAAAAAGGATTTCTCTAAGTAAATAAAAGTAAATTAGGTAATCAACCCTTACTGGTCTCAGTCTCGACTCGGACTCGACCGTCTCTGGTCTTGGACTCGACTCGGACTCGACACTCTATGGACTCGGTCTCGACTCGGACTCGACACTCTATGGACTCGGTCTCGACACGGACTCGACACTCTATGGACTCGGTCTCGACTCGGACTCGACACTCTATGGACTCGGTCTCGACTCGGACTCGACACTGTATGGACTTGGTCTTGACTCGGACTCGACTCTCTATGGACTCGGTCTCGACTCGGACTCGACTCTCTCTGGACTCGGTCTCGACTCGGACTCGACACTCTATGGACTCGGTCTCGACTCGGACTCGACACTCTATGGACTCGGTCTCGACTCGGACTCGACTCTCTATGGACTCGGTCTCGACTCGGACTCGACACTCTATGGACTCGGTCTCGACTCGGACTCGACACTCTATGGACTCGGTCTCGACTCGGACTCGACTCTCTATGGACTCGGTCTCGACTCGGACTCGACACTCTATGGACTCGGTCTCGACTCGGACTCGACTCTATCTGGACTCGGTCTCGACTCGGACTCGACACTCTATGGACTCGGTCTCGACTCGGACTCGACACTCTATGGACTCGGTCTCGACTCGGACTCGACACTCTATGGACTCGGTCTCGACTCGGACTCGACACTCTATGGACTCGGTCTCGACTCGGACTCGACACTCTATGGACTCGGTCTCGACTCGGTCTCGACACTCTATGGACTCGGTCTCGACTCGGACTCGACTCTTTATGGACTCGGTCTCGACTCGGACTCGACACTCTATGGACTCGGTCTCGACTCGGACTCGACACTCTCTGGACTCGGTCTCGACTCGGACTCGACACTCTCTGGACTCGGTCTCGACTCGGACTCGACACTCTATGGACTCGGTCTCGACTCGGACTCGACACTCTCTGGACTCGGTCTCGACTCGGACTCGACACTCTATGGACTCGGTCTCGACTCGGACTCGGACACTCTATGGACTCGGTCTCGACACTCTATGGACTCGGTCTCGACTCGGACTCGACACTCTATGGACTCGGTCTCGACTCGGACTCGACACTCTATGGACTCGGTCTCGACTCGGACTCGACACTCTATGGACTCGGTCTCGACTCGGACTCGACACTCTATGGACTCGGTCTCGACTCGGACTCGACACTCTATGGACTCGGTCTCGACTCGGACTCGACACTCTATGGACTCGGTCTCGACTCGGTCTCGACACTCTATGGACTCGGTCTCGACTCGGACTCGACTCTTTATGGACTCGGTCTCGACTCGGACTCGACACTCTATGGACTCGGTCTCGACTCGGACTCGACACTCTCTGGACTCGGTCTCGACTCGGACTCGACACTCTCTGGACTCGGTCTCGACACTCTATGGACTCGGTCTCGACTCGGACTCGACACTCTATGGACTCGGTCTCGACTCGGACTCGACTCTCTATGGACTCGGTCTCGACTCGGACTCGACACTCTCTGGACTCGGTCTCGACTCGGACTCGACACTCTATGGACTCGGTCTCGACTCGGACTCGACTCTCTATGGACTCGGTCTTGACTCGGACTCGACTCTCTATGGACTCGGTCTCGACTCGGACTCGACACTCTATGGACTCGGTCTCGACTCGGACTCGACACTCTATGGACTCGGTCTCGACTCGGTCTCGACACTCTATGGACTCGGTCTTGACTCGGACTCGACTCTCTCTGGACTCGGTCTCGACTCGGACTCGACACTCTATGGACTCGGTCTCGACTCGGACTCGACACTCTATGGACTCGGTCTCGACTCTCTCTGGACTCGGTCTCGACTCGGTCTCGACACTCTATGGACTCGGACTCGACTCTCTCTGGTCTCGGTCTCGACTCGGACTCGAGTGAGGTGGCCTCGACTACAACACTGCAGATCGGAGTCGAGAAGCAGAGCAGTGCTTGAATTATGTGTGTTAATGGCGCGAGGCAGAACACAAGCATGAGGATTTATGGCTGAGGTCAAGACCTATTACACAGTCCCTGTCCTGATAAGAGCAGCCTGTCACACACACACACACACAGCGACCCGTCGGAAGGGTCGTGTTTCACACTGATGAAGCTGATGTGCAAGACACGAATCTTGATGAGCAGGACAGCCTGACATTAATAAAGCCTGGGAGATAACGCACACACACACACACGCCACTAAATACATGAAAATTCTGTCATTATCTACGCATTTCCACGTCTTTTCAAATCTGTATGAGTTTCTTTCTTCAAAGGAAAGTGACTCACAGACGTGCGACTCTGAGTGACGGCTTTATTTATTGCAGAAATATTTTATTTTTCGATAGCGTTGCTCATGAAGTCTGCTCTTACTGAACACTTTAGAATACGGTTCCTTCGTTAATTAATAACCAACCAATGAGTAACACAATATTAACAATCTAGTAACTATTATTAACGATCAAGAAACTCTGATTAACGAACTAGTAATAACACACAGATGAATGTGGTGCTTCAATATTAACTGATTATTACACAATAACTATTATTTTTTAATGCTTCCCAGAGAAATACTGAAAATGTTCATAATTCATTGTGTAATTCCCAAAGAAGTATGAAGAACCACTTTCACCTGCGTGTTATTACTAACTAATTAATTAATCAAAATGTCATGTTAGTTAACAAGATTGTTAATAAACTTTTTCAGTAGTTCTCTGGGAAGCGTTAAAACACACACACACACACACACACTCAAACACACACTCATTCCTATCCAACAGTCCACAATAATGAACATCTTCAGAAAAGCATGCAGTGTATTCTCTGATCTTGTGGTAATTCAGCGTCTGTCAGTGTGTCGTCCTGCTGCTAACGGAGCGTTAATGATTAATGACAGCCTCGTTAAACTCTCGTTACAGCTGATCCTCGAGATGCACATTCAGTGTTTACTTACTCAATATTAGCCAGAGGGAGTAAAGCAACACCCGAACGCATCGCCTTCACACAGCAGATATCACGACATGTGATCATTAAAACATCAAACTACTCAAGGGTTTGACGTGACCCGATAAATGCCCACAGATCGGGTCAAACCTAAAAAGCTTGAGACAAAACTAAGACAAATAAATCTTTGTTTGCAGTTTTAAAGGCCAGTTTAGACCAGAAAGAAGTTAAAGCTGTTAATCAACCGTCATCTTGAGATCATTAGAGATCATTATGCTCACCTGTAGTTTAACCCTCACCCCGTCAATGTTCAGCACCTTATTCTGCAGAGAGAGAGAGAGAGAGAGAGAGAGAGGGGAAAGGTCAGTCATGGGTTTGAACAGTTGTCCAAATCTCCAGAGATGATCCAGCACATTTTTACATTTTTAAAAAAACCTTCAATTACTTATTTTTTTATACCACATTTACAAATAAGGACATCCCTAAATGGAGGTTTTTGGAGATTTTGTCCGGTTTTGGTCAAATTTGTTCCCAAAATATAGTTAAGTTACAGAGACAGAGAAACAGAGAGACACAGACCCACACACACACCATCACCAGTCCTTTATTCTCCTTTTATAGACTCTGAGATCAAGGCTAATAAAGTCGTGGTCAGTCTGTTTTATTAATCTGCTGTATTTCTGTATCTTCCTTCAGTGCAGCGAGTGACGAACACAACGGCAAACAACTGCGCTGTCTTCCTCAGTGCCAAGGACAAACTCCAGGCATGCCTCGACATCAAACCGCCTTCGTCACATGCTGAAACACAGTCAAGTTCCCCGAAAAAGCTCCTCCTCTGCTAAACAGCGGGACACGGGTCATGACGAGGGTCAGAATATGTTCGATGCTTCATCATCATAACTAACCCCGCTGTCACACTGAGCACAAACTCACATCACACAGCAAGAAAGTTCAATTCAGCAACAAACCAAAACTGCAAGAGCAAGCAAGAGGCTTGCCACACGGTTACCGTGATTTTACCGTGGTAAGAGGTGTTGCTTTAACAATGCAATGCAAAGTACGCTTTAAAACAGTGGAAACAGTGGTGTGATGCACAACACTATAGTGTTCAATAAATCATATCATATTGAACATAAAGTATTAATCACAACCTTTGTTGCAACGATTTTAAAATTCTGGCCAATGTGATAATATAAAAATATTACCATTTTCCGAAAAACAAATCTTTTTCCGAGTCAATTCGTTCGTTTCGTTGGTGGAATGAACGAAATGACTCGAAAAAAGATTCGTTCATTTTGATGAACAGGAGAGTCACGAACGCGCATCACAGAACAGAGCAAGGCGAGCATTTGAGCTTATAAAACTTAAACTTTGTTATTTATTTATTAAATGAGCGATCGTTTCACATGATAAGACCCTAAAAAACAATAAATGGGCAACATTAAAATGATTTAGGCCTACTATTTTGTCTCAATTGTCACAATTATAAAGTGCTGTGCAAAAGTCATGTTAGTATTTTCAACAACAAAAAGTTTTTTTAAGTCAGTAATTTATATATTTTGCTGTATTGCGTCAGAAGGAAATATAGTTTACATTTCTAAACATTCCTTTTGCCATTAATTCTAATAATCCACAGAGATTTGTGCATGCACAATGAGTCTGACAACATTATTTTGTAATGTAAAGCCAAACAACAGATAACAATGAGTGAAGTAATCTTCAAATGTCTTGATACAGCAAAAATATGACATTAATATATATATATATATATTAGGGCTGGGCAACAATTAATCACGATTAATCGCATCCAAAATAGAATATGTGCATAGTTTGTATAATTATTTTGTATATATAAATACACACACATGCATGTTTATATTTAAGAAAAATGTGTTCTTAATATATCAAATATTTATTTATATACACATAATATTAATTATGTATAAATATATTAGGGCTGTGCAAAAATTAATTGCGATTAATCGCATCCAAAATAAAAGTCTGTGTTTACATAATATATTTGTTTACATAATATAAATGTTTAATTCATATGTAAAATATTTATATTTATATAATATAGATTATGTATATATATATATATATATATATATATATATATATATACAGAATTTAAGCGCAATAATTCTTAAATATATGCATATTTAATTAAATATACAAAATAATTATATACAGCACACACAAATATATTATGTAAACAAAGACTTTTATTTTGGATGCGATTAATCGCAATTAATTTTTGCACAGCCCTAAAATATATATAAAGTACATGCAAATATTTTTTATATATATAAATGCATGTTTGTGTATTTATATATTCAAAATAATTATACACACTACACACATATATTATAATACATAAACACAAACTATTATTTTGGATGCGATTAATCGTTGCCCAGCCCAGTCCTGGTTTGTTGGTCATAGTCTTGAAGTTCCCTGTTTGGATCATCTTTTAGGCAAAATAATGGGTGACAATAATTTTTGGTTTTATATAAATTAGATTGCCGTACTATTTTGTCTAAATGATTGATATATATGTATTTATATATATATATATATATATATATATACATAGTATAGCTACTATTTTAGTTAAGCAGAGAGTTACGTCCTCGTCCAGGAAACACAGGAAGGTCAAGTGTATCTATGCCAAACTAACCCTCATAAAATGATTAATGTCACTGAATAATATTCAATAGTCTATTAGCACAATATAACGTTCATCTTTTGCAGAAAGGTGATTAAATCCATTAAATGAAGAAGGCCGTGATAATATAGTTAAATGCTCCACCTTTAATGAGAATAAGTGTGTTACGGGTGAAGGATTCGTCTAAAGAGTGCCTGAGACGGGTTCACTCAGGCATATAAAGCTTTTATAATCAGTGACCCGATTACACTGTAAAAATACACCAATTTGAAGACTTACATCTTTAAGTATAATCAAACTGACTGTGCACGTCATTTTTTATTTAAATTATATTGAACTGAAATTCAGTTGAATCTCATATAACTGACTTTGAAATAGGCTAATGGAAAAAAAATATATATGTTGCCATCATTTTTTGCACATTTTTAAGTATAATCAAATTGGCTGCACAAATCATTTCAATTTAAATATTATTAAATTGACTTCAAAGGTTGAATATCATTTTACTTTAAAAAATGAAGTAGAATTTGCGTAAATTCTTGAATTAGACCTATATATATATATCACTGTAAAACCGAACACTGAAAGTCACTAAACAAAATGAGTTAATTTCACTTAATAAAAAATTTGATATTAACTTAAAACATGCAATGCATTAAGCAGAACTTAAACTGAATAAGTTATGAATAACCTAATTGTTATTTTAGCTCTAAAGATTTAATTTGAATTTAATTCGTTTATGGTTGAAAATAAAAATAATATTAAAAGTAAATTAGAAACCAGTGGGTGGGTTTTACACAATTGTTTCCAAATTCAAGATCGTGGTTTTATTTCAGTTAGCCTAGCTGGTTTGATTTGCATTGAGAGATGATCTTATGGAAAGTTCCCCATGCCGATCTCTAGGTTTGGTGAAGTTTTTGTAATGATATTTTAATTGCAAAGGCAAATATGCATATAGTGTCCCAGATCCATGAAATAACTGGCTTTTAAAAATAAAAAATCTGCCCTCATAAATGGGAATTTAACACAGGGGTGTCCTGACTTATGCACCCTGTATTTTAAGGAAGGAAAAGTTATTTATGTACGATACATTATTCATTCACAAAGAAAATTGGTGTCCTTAAAGGTTGGATCTTTCCTCATTTTTTTTTAAATTAAGGCATTAAGATCAATTTCCAAAAGAGTTTTTTTTTATTCCTCTTTTTAGTCAACTTTAGCGTGGGTGTGTTCACTTATTTTAGGCACTGTACATGTTGCTCACATATTATGGTAGCCCTGTTTGTGCTGAATAGAGTGTAATTTTTACTCCTTCCTTTGCCATTAATATATTTATAAGTAACTGAAAAAAGCTCAAATATCATGTCAACAGATCTCTAGGACCCCAGAAACACCAAAGAGCCCAGAGCAGTGTTATTTTAGTATCATTTACTATTATATTTCTCATTAAACGTTTTATTTTTTACATTTTCTGGTTTCATTTTAATTTTAGTTAAAGCTTAATGAAATACATCTATAGGTTTTATTCATTTCTACTTCAGGTTTAGTTTTATTTATGTCAGTACATCAGGTTAAAGTACACCTATACAAGTTTGCATGCAAAAAACATTAATTTTCTCATATTACACAATACAACTCAGTGTCTGAAATCAAGGATTCAGTAGATTAATAGTAGATTAATAATCTACTATGTGTGATGTGATTTTTATTTGCCCATTAAGTTTCCATAAGAGCATGTCATTAGTTTCGCCACTCGTGACGGCAGTTTGATACTCATCGTTTAATAGCATCTCTGATGTAAAGTTGCTAAATTCACTGGAAAGTAAAACAGAAAGTGACATTGATTCGTTTGCATAATTTAGGTAAGATTGTTTCATGTTTTTGAAAGAAGTGTGTGATATTTTAGGAATACACTGAAAAATATAGCAACAGAAAAGTGTGAGTCATTACATGAATCTTTCGTTTGACTCATAGTTCAGTGTGTTCGCATGAGCATGAATGTGTTTAGAGTTTTTCACAAGACTTCATTATCTGCTCATCTGAGTAACACTCGTTTGGCAACACCTGAACAACACCACTGATCTGTGTTTCACTCAAGATCCTTTAAAGCCCAGCCTGAGACTGAACAGATGTCTCACTGACCACACACACACACACACACAGTCACACACACTGTAGAGAAATAAAGTTATAGGGTCAATCTCCCTGCTAAACACAATCACACACACTCACTCACTTATTCTCATTCATACTCACACTTATTCACTCTCACACACACCACTGGCCACTTTAGGTCCTCCTGTTAATCAGCCAATCAGGAATTCGCCTTTCTGAACATTCTCAGAATGTCCCGTTTTTAAAAACAGCTTTTTGAACTTTAAAGGAACATTCCATTTTTAAATTCTGCAAATATTTTGGCGGCGTTACTTTTGAATGTTCTCGGAACATTCCGAACATTCTTAAACGATGTTACATTTCAGGGAAAAAGCTTTTGAGTTTGTTATTAAAGACAAACAACTTTGAATGAACATTCTAAGAAGGTGTGTTCATGCATTGTTTCTCTGTTCTCTGGTTCACGGGGGTTTACTGCGAGTCTAACTCTGTGTGAACGGACACTCATAATCAACCCTAACGACCTGCTGTGTTCGCACGCTGACA